TCATTTATGGGCTGGGTGACCTGGGGCTTAACCTCTCTAAGTTTCAGTTTTCTCTTCAATAAAATGGGGTACTATCCATTTCATCTAGTTGGAAGATTGTGTGAAGATTAAATGAGACAATGCAAGTGAAGCCCATATTACAGTGCCTGGAGCACTATGAGTGCACAGTTAATGCTAACGAGGCAGGACAATATTCTGAGGTGTGAGGAGTTTGTTCACCAAATCCCTTTATTTTTATTTCAAGGGACTCATTTTCCCTCCAACCAAAACGTAACCGAGGCACCAACAGTGAATCAGAAACAATGACTGCAAACACTCAGGGTGTTTAGCAGAATCTCTGACCTCTGCCCACTGGATGCCAGTAGCATCCTCCCAAGCTGTGACAACAACAAAATAATTGCCAATGTCCCTTGGGAGGCAAAATCACTCCGAGTTGAGAAAAGCTGAGATTATAGAGACATGTGGAAAATGCTTTAGATGGTCAGAAAAAGGAGCGCTTAATCCCAACTAGATAAATTGGAGAAAACTGCAGGAGGCATGGTGTGATAGCTGAGGTGCAACCACACATAAATGAGAAGTCCCCCACCTCGTGACCCTAGATACTTAGGGGTCTGGGAAAGGACTAATGGGGTTCCATGGGTTATTCTCCATTGTGTAAAAAAATCGATGCTAATCCATTGACGTCGATTGTCTATCTCTTGACATAAGGCTGCAAGGCTAAGACAGCAGCAACTCCAGGTGGACACGCCAGCTATCTCAGGATCAACTTGAATCAGCAATTACATATAATTTCCTTTCCTATTTGCTCGTTAATTCCCTTTGCCATTTCAGGCTCCTTTGTTTTGGGAGCCAGGGAGTGGTTTAGGAAGGCTTTATCTGCCGGCCAGCCTCAGAGTTGTGTAAGTCAATAGCCCACCCTGCCCTTCCTTTAACCCAGTACCCTAAGTCAGCTCAACATAACAAATACTGCTGGGCGCTGAGGGATGGGGGGTGCTGTGTGGGCTCGGTCCTTATGGAGTTCTCAGTTCTCACCTTTGAGAGTCCTTCTCACCTTTGAGAGTCCTGCCCAGATAACAATGCTCTCATTCATCAGCAGCTCTTTTCCAGGAGGTGCTCTGAAGTAAAAATGTCCAACAGTCGCTGTCTCTGGTCTCTGGTCTGGGAGGAGGTAGATGTTTTTAATGTCAAATGTTGCCAGCNGTGTCTTATTTCTATTTAGCACTTTTCAGTTTGTACTGAAATTGTCTGTTTTCTTGTGGACCTCAAAGACTGTAAATTCTCTGAGGGTAGAGAGAGTGTCTTGACTTCATTTCCCTCTTCTGAAATGGCAGATATTTCAGTCCAACATCCTCACAACTTTTCTTTGAGTTGTCATTATCTGTAAGACTATATGAGTCTACTGAGCTCTCATTCCCAATATGCAGCCATATACCCAAAACTGGACCCACATCACAGAGTTTGTCATGGTGGGCTTTGCTGGGGTGTGTGAAACACGCCTCCTCTTCTTTATACTCTTTCTCGCCATGTACCTGTTTACCTTGGTGGAGAACTTGGCCATCATCTTGGTGGTGAGTTTGGACAATCAGCTACGGAGACCCATGTATTTCTTTTTGACACACTTGTCCTGCCTTGAAATCGGGTACACCTCAGTCACAGTGCCCAAGATGCTGGCTGGTTTTATTGGGGTGGATGGAGGCAAGAGCATCTCGTATGCTGGCTGCCTGTCCCAGCTCTTCATCTTCACCTTCCTCGGGGCAACTGAATGTTTCCTACTGGCTGCCATGGCCTATGATCGCTATGTGGCCATTTGTATGCCTCTCCGATATGGGGCTTTGGTGTCGTGGGGCACCTGCATCCGTCTGGCTGGTGCTTGTTGGATGGTGGGCTTCCTCATACCCATTTTGCCCACCTACCTTATGTCCCAGCTGATATTTTGTGGCCCCAATGTCATCGACCACTTCTTCTGTGATGCCTCACCCTTGCTAGCTTTGTCCTGCTCGGATGTCACCCTGAAGGAGACCATAGACTTCCTTGTCTCTCTGGCAGTACTCCTGGCTTCCTCTGCAGTCATTTCAGTGTCCTATGGCAACATTATCTGGACACTGCTGCACATCCGCTCTGCGGCTGAGCGCCGGAAGGCCTTCTCCACCTGTGTAGCTCACTTGACTGTGGTGAGCCTCTTCTATGGCACTCTTTTCTTTATGTATGTCCGGACAAAAGTGGCCTCCTCCATCAACTTCAACAAGGTGGTGTCTGTCTTCTACTCCATTGTCACACCAATGCTCAACCCTCTCATCTATAGTCTTCGAAACAAGGAGGTGAAGGGAGCTCTGAGCAGAGCCTTTTTCCTCAAGCCTTGGAAAGGTCAATGAGGGGGCAGGTGGGATCCAGTTTTCTTTCTTCGGCTTTAGCAGGAGAGCGGTAAGGACTATGGAATGGTACAGTGGCCTGGGCAGTCAAGAGTTGTGGACTATATATTAGTTAAAGTAAAATGCTAATCAGTTATAACAAGAGAGACCTAACAATAATGTAGCTTAAAGAATGAAGACGATTTTCTTTTTCCTGCAAGAGTCTAAGGTGAATGCTTTAGGTTGGTAGGTGGCTCTGGTCAACAGACATGTAAGGATCCAAGTTCCTTCCATCTTGTGGGGTCAACACCCGCTAGGATGTTGGCAAATAGAGGCCTGTGGGCCAAATTCTGCTCGGCACTTATTTTTAATGACCTGTGAACTAAGAATGGTTTTAATACTTTAAAACATTTGAAAACAAATCAAAGTACAATCATATTTCATGACACATAAACATTTTATACAATTAAAATTTCAGTGTCCATAAATCAAGTTTTATTAGAACAGAGGCACAGCATATGAATTGTCTATGACTGCTTTTGTGCTATAATGACAAAGTTGAGTAGTAACAGAGACCATTTGCCAACCCCCAATGGAGGGCCTTTTTGTTATTTATGAGGTCTAACAATTAAGTTCATGAACTTGTTACAACGATGTTGTTAACCTTTTTTTAATACTAGAGGGATTATTCACTATGGATTTGTACCAACTGGACAAACAGTTAACCAAGTTTACTATTTGGAAGTGCTGAAAAGGCTGCATGAAAATGTTAGACAACCTGAACTTTTTGCCAACAATTCATGGCTGTTGCATTATGACAGTGTACCAGCTCACACAGCACTGTCTGTGAGGGAGTTTATAGCCAGTAAACAAATAACTGTATTGGAACACCCTCCCTNAATGGAGACGCCCTCAGCGTTTCACTTTAGTCTGTGCTCCTCTTCCTTTGTCAAAGTGTTGCTTCTGTGATCCTCCTCTACGTGTCCTGGTTTTGGGGCTGGGATATTTGATTCCTCGGGCAAGAGGAAAATAAAAGGAATATGATCATTCAAAGCCTCTTTTATTACCCTCCCTCACAGAGGAGAAATCCGCCTTTAAATTGCTCAATTTTGGACTTCTATGGTGTAGAACTGGGACAACAGATAGAGTGACAAAACTTAAGACACCAGCAAGGCTGGATTGGTTTCCATTGTAAAGGCAGAATATTACAGGCCAAAGAGAAATCAAAAGCTCTGGGAGGTGAGAGGAGAGGACATGGCTTTGAGAGCAGAGGTTTCGGGTTTGCCTGTTTCCTTGGCCCCCCAGTTCCTCTTTCCTCCTGAATGCGCTTGGCCTGCGAGCATGGTGGTCTTTCAGTTGCAGAAGAGGTTTCTCGGCTTTGTCCTATTGGGGAGTAAGAGTCTGTCAGATTGGGTCAAATTGGGTCAGAGGGAGGACATAGATATGATAATGTTGAATATCTTCCCTACCCAAAGTTTTGTAGTAAAACTATCTCACGTCCACTGTTAGGTGAGTGAACCCTTCATCTTTGTTACCTAATTTATCTCTAACCATATCCTTGTCAGGTAGATTATCTCCCCAACTTTAGAGATGAGAAAACGTTCAGAGGGATTGACTTGCCTGAGGTAGCACATCTATGAAGAGGTTTATGTGGGTCGAGTCAACGTTTAGGATGGTTTACACTGTGCTAGGCTCTGTGGGATCCGGAAACACATAACACATGGCCATCAAGGAGCTTTATCGTTTAGTTGGGAGGACAAGCTATCTGCATCTGAAACATTTAGGCTGGACCCAAGTCATATTAAATCAAGGGAAATATCCTGTGTGTTTAAGACATGTTAGTGGACCAGTCATCTAAAGGGCCNAATGAGCATTTGTTATACACCAGGAACTGGTTATTCCAATGTAAACACCCCCAATGGCTCTAAGAAGTAAATACATCATCATTAACCATTATTACCTTCATTTTATATGTGAGGAATGTGAAGCCCAAGGGGAACGACTTAATTTGTCAAGATCACATCATTAATAAGTAATGTTGTTAAGAATCAAATCCGGGCTTACTGACTTTTAGGCCAGTGCCCTTCATAATTTCTGGCTGTCCTGTTTCCCACCTCTCTCTGTCCAGCTCCCTCTGCTGGTGCAGATTCTGGGATTTGTGAGAGAAGTGACGAGGGTCTCCGCCAGGTCCTTTGGTTGTGTAAAACCAGAGTTGGGAAAAACAAAGACTACTGCCAAATGCTCAAGAATTTCTCAAGATGTAATGAATTTGGAGCCCTCAAATTTTAGCAAACTAAAAATTTAACAACATGAGTGGGGTCCCCGGGGTTAGAGCAGATGCATATGCTCTGAGACCAGTGTCCCAAGGCTTTGGACCTGGGAGTGTATGGCCTCCAGCTCTGGTCCTAAGAAAAGTAAATTAGATGGACTGAGGTTAACCTCTTCACAAGGGACCCATTGAGCTGTGGTGCTGGGGAGACCTAAGAGGTAGGTCAGGTGTAGCCTCAGGTCTGAAATGTAATGAAGGGAGTCTCTGTCCCAGATAGGTGACAAACACTAAACTGAAGAATGGCTCGCATTGCTCAATGTTTCTGAACATTCTTGTTGCCTGGGCAGGTCTGATTTCCTAGTGACACCTGTCCAATTTCTTCCTTATGCTCAAACTCGAGGCTCAGGGATTATCCTTCTGAGGAGACTTTGGATTTGGATGGGAGCTGTTCTACAGGGAGAGAATGCACTGACCAGCCAATATAAGGCTGTTGGTCATGTGGGAAATCACATTTCTCATCATGAATTAATAAGTGGTTCCTGGTTTTGACAATGATTTTGGGCAGCTTCAGCCAGCCCCAGCAATACCAGTCATTTCTGGGTGAGTACTTAGTTCCTGGAACTCATGTCCTTGTCTGGGCCCCTCTCAACTATGAGCTCTTTGAGGCTGGCGACTGGGTCTGACTCACATCCCTCCCTTGGGGCGTTGTGATCTGGCATGTGGCTCTTGTTCAGAAAAAGTCTATTGAATGGGTGCGAACTATGACATTCCTAGAGTCACAAAGCTCAGACTGGAATGATTGGCACCTCAATGCTGAATGTATCAGAAGGCCTTATTTTCCCTGTCTCTGGGATACTTAACCCAGGAGTGATGGTTGCAACCCTAGTCTCATGAGGGCCACGGGGCTGGAGGAGGAGGCCCTGGTGGGCAAGTGTGGCACTGCGGAAGGATGGTCTCAGGTCTAACACCACCCTCCGTGCTGGAGTGGGACCTCAACACAGCCTGTAACTGTGGGGACGGGACTGATTTCATGCATTTTTTTTAAAAAAGATTTTTATTGGGGAATTGAGGGGATGGGAACAGTGCTGGGGAATTGGGGGAAGGGAAACAGACAAGTTGCTGTCCTTTTATTCTTCAATCT